TCAGGCCAGCGGAGGGCGGGGCAGCCCCCCCTTTGTCTGCCTTGCCCGACGGTAGGAGAGAAGTAAGGAAGGTTCGAGCCCCTGATGAGACACAGGCTGTTCCTGCTGCCCCAGCTGCTGGGCGACGTCGGGTGTGGGAGCTGCTGCTCCCCAGGAGGACAGCCTCTGCACAGACCACACGGCTGTCGAAGGCCTTGCAGTGAGTACTCACTGAGGTCAGGAGGGCCACTTCTCAAACCCGGCCCCGTTGGAGGGCAGAAACAGCAGCCGAGGCCTAGACACCGCGCTGCGCCCCGGTGGCCCTGCCTGACGCGGGGTGCAGACGACCCCGGCCCCACTGGCCTGTTGCTTCGTCACCCCAGGGAGGGGAGCAGAGCACGTGGAAAGGATCGGAGGGTCACAGAATCCACAGGTGGACTCCGACTCGGAGACTGCGGGCAGAGACGCCGGACGAAGCCCAGGCCCTGCAGCCCACCCCCAGCCCACCTGGCCGAAGCGGCGTCACTGCTCCAGGCCGCCTCTCCTGACAGCTGCCGTCGGCCATGCCCCCCCAACCTGAGACTGGGCCCGGCAAACCAGCAGGGGTGCTGCAGCTGTGGCGTGGCCTCACCTCGAGTGGGTGCGGCAGAGAGCGCCCAGCACGGTCACGCCAGCACACGCACACCTGTGCCCGTGCGGGCATCTGTGAGCTTTGGGGGCCCAGCGCGGCGGGCAGGACACAGACTGCCAGGCACATGGCCGCTGCCGGCGTGGCGGGGAAATGAGGCGTGGGAGAAGGGGAGGAAGCGGACAGCAGCCAGGGGGCCTGGCAGGCCGGCTGGGCCTGCGGGATGGCCACGCTCCAACCCTTTCCCCTGGGGATTTCGGGCGTGCACACACGGTGTCCAAGCACCCAGTCTGGGACTTGGACCTTAACCACCACTGGCTGGCCCTTTATTCTTTTGATAGAGAACACGTATGTGCATGTGAGAGCATGTGCCCACCTCAACCGGGTCTCGCCACGCCGTGACCCCCGGTCTTAGCCTTCCAGTTCCGCAGGATCCTGAGCACCTGCAACTGTACCCAGCGCACTTTCAGGCTGAGCCAGGGGTCGGGGCCCACAGCTGGCGCGTGGCTGTGGCCTTGCAGGACAACACGTGACCACGGCACCCTGGCAGTGGGCCAGGCCCGGGCTCGGGGGACGCGGCTGTCCGATCTGGGGCAGCTATCACAGAGACACAGCGGACTCCTCGCCACCTATGGTTGGGCACAGGAGCATGAGGGGCCCCTCCCTCCCACCACACCCCTGGCTGTCACGTGAGCCCCCCCAGCCCCCCCCCCTGCAAGGGCACACATCCTTCCCACCCAGGCAAGCCTGGCCCATGCCTTCTCCTCACAGAGGGTCCGCGGATGCCCTGTCTGCCGGTCCACTGCCTGGAGTGGCCAGTGTCCACGCACAGCCCTACACACAGGCCCCCGACTGCACTATGCCGAGGTTTCCTTCTGATGACACACGCGCATCCCAGGGCCCCGCAGCACCAGGTCCGGCGCACTCAACAGCTCTGCCCTTCATGGCTGTGCCGAGCGCAGCCCAGCCATCCCTCTGTGGCCCACTTTGCGCCAGGCCTGCCCTGTGGGGGAGCCCCCTGTCCCCGACCCTGTGGACGCGCACATCCCAGTCCACCTGCCCCTCAGTCACACACATCCGGATGGCACCTGCAGCCCCTGACCCGTCTCAGCCTCAGGTCGGACTCTCGCTCTCCGCGCGCCAGCTGGGAGCTGTGGCCGCGCGTTGGAGACCTTCCGGGTGCTGCAAACCCTTTGTGTCGGCGTCTGAGAAAGTTGCCCGGCACGGTGGGGAGACACTCGCAACGACACCCGTAAACACCCGCCCCCGCGCCGCGCAGCTGCGTGCGAGGTTCCCTGCGGGCGGGCCTGGCCCAGGGGACCCTCCCCAGGGGACCTCCCCACGCGCCCTCCATCCGTGTGCCCGGGCGCTCGGCCGCTCGCCCCGCGGTGCACGCGCGGACACTGGCACACGCCCCTCCGCGCCA